AACCCACAAGTTGAGAACCACTGAACTAGAGGAAAGTTGTATGTTTCAGCGGTGCTATACTGCACCCAGACTGGCTTGTCTCTTCCTTGTGACCCTTCTCTAAGGGGATGTCCAGTTGTCTACAAATGAGCTTGGGGTTCCCACTCCGCACTCCCCCTCATTCACATTGATAGGATTTTTTGTTCTGGTTCTTTGATGCCTGATACCTGATCCCATCGACCGACACCTCATGATCACACAGGTTGGTGTGCTTCCTCCATGTGGACTTTGTTGCTTCTCAGCTAGATGGCCGCTTGTTTATCTTTAAGACCCCAGGTGCTGTATCTTTTGATAGCCAGGCACCATCAACTTTCTTCATCACATTTGCATATGTACCCATTTTGTCTTCGGTGATCGTGTCTGGAAGGTGAGCATCATGGAGTGCCAGGTTATTAGAACAAAGTGTTCTTACATTGAGGGAGTACTTGAATAGAGGCCCAATGTCTGTCTGCTACCTTAATTCTTAACATGTAAATATATGGACATAGATCTATTTCCCTGTCGTTATTTATAAGTATATTTATATATGTACATGCCTGTATTTAGACCTCTATAAATGCCCTTTGCCTCCTAGTTCTTTCCTCTGTTTCCTTTTACTTTCTGCTTGTCTCACTATCATGTTCGGCCTTCATTTGGGTTTTAGTAACTCCTCTTGGTTACATTGCCCTTGATCAAGCCCTACCAGGCATAGTATTATTCTTATATTAGTCATGTTGATTTTCTCTGGCTTCATAAAGATTTTTTTCCTTTATTTTTTTAAATATCATTCTGGCTATACTTCTTCTGAGATTAATTTGTTTTTTTCTCTTGGTAGTCTATGGTATATTCAGTATTCTCTTACTAACACCATTCTAATGTATCAGTTCTAGTTCAGCCCTCCTTGTTCATAGTCCAAATTCCACATTCATATGACGTATCTAAGCATGAATTTCTTTGGTTTTATCATATTTGGTGCTCACTCAGGTAAATCTTTAAGGTTATATGTTTGCTACACTTGAGAACTTTTCAGCTATTTTGGTAAATAAATTTTTCTAGCACCACATTCTCTTCCTTTTCTGATAGTCTGATATTGTCCTACAAGGTGGCCTACAAATTCTTCATACAGAGCTAATAATGATGAGTAAAAGATTGAAGAAAATGTTTTAAAGTTCATTGTGGTGGTGATTGTTCAATTCTTGATGTGATCGAACTATTGAATGTATGAAACATTAATTATTTGCCAATAAAACTGTTGGGAAAAAATTTGTCATACAAATTTTGTACCTTGTCAGATAGGTTCTTAAGGCTGTTTATTATTAATGTTTTAAAAACCTGTTTTCTTTGTTATTCAATTTTTTGTTAATAATAAAGAACAAACCATTAGGTAACCCAGGGACCTTAGATTAAATCTTTTATCTTTATCTATCTTCAAGTTTATTTACCCAATTCTGTTATTGAGTCTATCCAGTGAAACTCTGTCACTCTATTTTCAGTTCTAAAATTTTCACCTGTCTCTTTATATCTCTTTTCTTGCTAATCCTGATCTTTCAACTTTTATTCGAGCATTTGTAATTTCTTGTTAAAGCATTTTTCTAAAAGATGCTTTAAAATATTTGAAAGATGGTCACATAATCTTTCTATACCAAATAATTTTGGATTATATCTTGAATCATTTTGAGTATTATGCTATTAATCTGGTTTTGTTTAAACCCATGGATACTGTTGATGTTTTTGTTTTAGCAGTCATATATATGCCTTGTTTATTTAAATTTAATTTGACAGTTTTATTGGGTATAATTCACAAAACGTACAATTCAATAATATAATCATTTTAAGAATTGTACAGTCATTACCAATATCAATTTTATTTTATTATAATTATTGTATTATATTAATACATATATCATTTCATAGTTCTATCATGTGAACCAGAATTATACAGTTGCAGCCACAATCAGTTTCCAAACATTTTTTTCTTCCTAGACTACTTGACATCATCTCCTTTTTACCAACCCCCTCTCCCCCCGAAACCCTTAGTCTACTCGATATCCCTATAGTTTCAGCATTCTTGAGTTTCATATACTGGAAAACAAAAACATTTAACACAGCTTCAAAGGGTGACTTCTTTTTTTTTTTTTCTTTAAAAAAAATCATTTTATTTGGGGCTCATACAACTGTTATCCCAATCCATACACACATCAATTGTGTAAAGCACATTTGTACATCGTTTCTCAAAACATTTTCTCTCCATTTAAACCCCCGACATTAGGTCCTCATTTTTCCCCTCCCTCCCCGCTCCCCCCTCCCGCATGAGCCCTTGATAGTTTATAAATGGTTATTTTGTCATATCTTGCCCTGTCCGACGTCTCCCTTCATCCACTTTTTGATTGTCTGTCCCCCAGGGAGGAGGTCACACACAGTTCCATGTAATCGGTTCCCTCTTTCCTACCCATTCCCCCTTTACCCACCCTGTTTTGCCACTCATACCACTGGTCCTATAGGGCTCATCCGTCCTGGATTCCCTGTATTTTCAGTTCCTATCTGTACCAGTGTACCTCCTCTGGTCTAGCCAGTCTTGCAAGATCGAATTCGAGTCATGGTAGTGGGAGCGGGGAGGAAACCTTTAGGAACTAGAGGAAGGTTGTATTTCTCATCATTGTTACATCGCACCCTGACTGGCTCATCTCCTCCCCGAGACCCCTCTGCAAGGGGATCTCCAGTGGCCTACTAATGGGCTTTGGATCTCCACTCTGCACTCCCCCCATCATTCACTATGGTAAGATTTTTTGTTCTGATGATGCCTTACACCTGATCCCTTCGACAACTCGTGGTTGCATAGGCTGGTGTGCTTCTTCCATGTGGGCTTTGTTGCTTCTGAGCTAGATGGCCGCTTGATTACCTTCAAGCCTTTAAGACCCCAGACGCTATACTTTTTGATAGCCGGGCACCATCAGCTTTCTTCACCACATTTGCTTATGCACCCATTTGTCTTCAGTGATCCGTTCGACAACCCTCAAAGGGTGACTTCTGACGACATAACACATCTGAGATACACTCTAATATGAACAAATCAAAACAAAACAAAACAAAAATACAGGAAATGTTGAAAACCAGATCAGATCTGGCATGCCTATGGAGGTGGGGGAATCGACTGACAAAGTTTTAACTGTTCGAGTCAGATATATGCCTTTGATCTTCTGTACTCTTCTCTCCACTGCACTCTGTTCAGAACCCTTTCCTCCCCTCCCTCAATTGTGGATAGAGGGAGTTAGTTCACCGGAGGCTTGTTTCCTGTGTCTTTCCCACAAATGGATTTTGGGTTCCTATTGTCATCCATAGCTTTTTGCCACTGGATGTTCACAGTTTAGGTTCTTACACTAATCCCTCCTTCAATTTTGAATTACATGATTTACAGTCCTTCAGTGACTGATGATGGTGTGCTTTATGTGGACTTAGTTGATATCTTGATTAGATGGCTGCTCCTGTGGACAAAAGCCTTTAACACCCAGATGCTATTTTATGATAGCTGGCCACCATCTAATTTTTTCGCCACAATTTGCCATAGCACCTGTATCTTTTGTGCTCCCTTTTTGAGTATCAAGCATGTCCTTCTTATTTGTAGTCTACAACTTTCCAACTGCTTGTCGTGGGCTGTACGTCCAATGACAGTTCAGTTTTCAAACGCTTCACAGTGCTACTTGAATCCCAGTGGCCAACAGAACTCAAAGTTTCTGTATTAGCTTAGTTATTGAAGTTTGTAGTATGATAATTAGAGTCAGAGCTACGGGTGCATAGATCTGAGGTGTGCCTTTTACTTCATAAACAGCTGTATGGGTCACTATTTGGAGTTTCCATGGAGATGAAAGGTCCTTGTCTTCAGAGTTTTGTCTCCTGTAGTTTTCTGTTGCTACTTGCTTTTGCTGTCTTTGTAGATTTGCCTGGAGCTAAGGCTGAGGCTTTGAGAGCTTGGGAAAAGAGGAAACCCTCAGGGGCAGTTCTGCTTTGTCCAACAGGTTTGCTATCAATTGGAATTGACTTGATGGCAGTGAGTTTGCATTTATGAGTTTTGCACCTCCATTTATTCCCCATTTATCTGTCTATTGTACTGTGATGGCTTGTGGTGTGTTGCTAGTGCAAGCAACTACTCTTCTTTCTCTATAATTTTACTTGATAAATGAAATCATAAAATATCTATTGCAGTTATGTGTTCTTTGTCTATATCAGCGGTTCTCAAGCTGTGGTGGTGATCCCTTTGGGGGCCGAACAACCCTTTCACAGGGGTCGCCTAAGACCATTGGAAAACACATTTCCAGTGGTCTTAGGAACCGAGATACCGCTCCTCTATCCATCTCCAGGTGGGTCTGCCCACATGCAGATGCACCAACATGTGAATAACTGGTGTGAAGACTGTTACCCATGCTACACCGTTCTTCAAGACAAAATTTCATTTATTTGTCATTAGAAATAAATATTTCACAATATATAGTTACATATTTTTGTGATTCATCATTATGCTTTAATTATGTTCAATTTGTAACAATGAAAATACATCCTCCATATTAGATATTTACATGACGATTTGTAACAGTAGCAAAATTACAGTTATGAAGTAGCAACAAAAATAACATGAGGAACTATATTAAAGTGTCATGGCATTAGGAAGTTTGAGAGCCACTTGTCTATATTCTTTGAAAATTATGGTTTGCAATTTTGATCCCAGTTCTAATCCTGGTAAGTATACATGTTGGCATTTATGTAGTAGATCTTATCCCAAAGAAGTTGAATTACAGAAGAATAGGTAAGGGTTACCTCCTTTCTTTTCACTTGCTGATTATGATTCTATACTTGGTTCTCTATTTAATATATAACCCGAAAGTTGAATAGAAGAATCAGTAAGTATTCAAAATTGTCTATATTTAACATCAGATTTACCAAGTAGCATAATATTTTCATTAACCACAAGAAAACATTTTTTTTCATAGTATATTCAACAAAACATAAGGGCAGATTGCTCCAATATTGACAAAATTCTTGAACCACCTGAAGGCCAAGATGAAGGTGTATGGAAGTATGAACATTTAAGGTAGGTTCTTATAAGATACTAAAACAATAGTAATACTTCTAGTAAAAATAATTTGTGTTATTGAGATGAACATTACTCATAGAATTCACTATATAACTACAGACCAAAAAGCCAAATTCTAAAGCTCTTGTGATTTCAGTGTTTAAGGTTCTCAACTTGGTTATCTACTGAATATTTCAGATCAAGTTATGTGTTGCCCTTGTGGTTTCAAAACTGGTTGGTTACTTGTACAATAATTACCTTCAGGGCCTGCCTCTAACATTATAATGTTTATAGATTTTGACCTAATTATCTTTTTTACCTGGGTTTTCTTAATCCTCGCTCTGAAGCACAAATGCATTGCTTCCGTTTTCAACTCATTTTATTTCTTTATAGAGGTTCACCTCTAGGAGTCCTTGCGTGGCACAAAAGGTTAAGCTCTTTCCTACTACCAAAAGGATGGCAATTTGAACCCACTCAGAGGCATCTTGGAAGACAGGCCTGTTGATCTGTTTCTGAAAGATCATAATCTTGAAAACATAATGGAGCAGTTCTACTCTATACATGTGTGGGTGGTTGCAACTGAGAGGGAACTAACAACAGAGGATCACCCCTGTTGAAATCTGCAATTTGATCAACTCCATACTTATGAATTATTGTGAACTTTCTTTACTTTAGTAAATAGAGATTTTTTCAAGATATCATTTTGGATGAGAAAATGTTTGATAAATAAGTAGAGTTAATTATAGAGGTAGCGACAAAGGTTCTTTCTTGAATTCATTACCCATCCAGTTCAAATGGGGGCCGGAGATGAATTATGAGTTGAAAATATGACTTTTTCTACAAAAATAGATTACCTTTTCTGTGATGAAGATCTGAAATTATAGACAAGGTACTTTTTTCCCCCCCAACAAGGCACTTTTCCCCCTTCTTGATACCATCTGGTATTGATACTGCTAAGATAATGTATAGCAATTTCAGGGGACTTATTTCTCTTCTGTGTCATGGTTTTGCTGGTTTAACTTGATGACTAGATCTACTTTAAAAAATAAATACATCTTAAAAGGTTTGATAAGTGAAGGTATGAGCTTGTAGGTATTTTTGCATTCTTATAACCTAGGATGAAGGACACTGGTGGATCAGTAGTAGAATTCTCCCCTCTACAGCAGCCCCAGATGTGATCCCTTGCTGATGGGCCTCAGCACGACTACCACTCATCTGCCATTGGAGGCTTAAGTGTCATTATGATGTGGAAGAGACTTTAATATCTGAAATTAAAGTTAATTAAAGTTTAATCTACTTCCAAAAATCAGCCAGTGAAAATACTATAGATTTTTTTTAAAAAAGGAAATAATACTGTAGATCACAGTGATCTAATGTTATTTGCAGGGTCTCCATGAGTCAGGGTTCGACTTGATGCTAGCTAACAACACCATAACTCAAGGTAGAAAACTGTTACAGTATATGCTCTGATTTATTTGATCTGTCTTGAAAATATTTTTTTTACCTGTTGGAATGAATGATGAAAATAAGCAGGTTCTTTCCCTGCCTGCCTCCAGTCCCCGCAGCATCATTCTTAACAAGTGAGAGCTTTTTAGTTTGGTTTCTTCTATGATAAAAAGCAGTTGTCAAAAATAGATTTTTAAAAATCAAAAGATGGAAAAAATATCAAGCTAGCAACAATCAAAATAGAGCAGCGGTGGCGATATTAAACTTATGATAAAATGGACTTAAAGACAAAAACCAGCATAAGAGACAAAAGAAGGATATTAAAGGGTCAATTGAACAAAAGACATAACCATCATATCTGTATGCCCAGTGAAACTCTTAAATTGCATAAATCATAATCTTAACAGAATTGAAGAAGAAAATAGACGACAATAATGGGAGTTTTTAACATGTCACTGGTCGAAGGCTAGAACAACTAGGAAGAAAAGCAGAGACACAGAAGAACTAGACACAAATCAACCAACTTGACCTCATACACACATAGAGGAATGTGTCAGCATTTCAGTATTCACTTTTCAAGTGCACATGGAACAGTCTCAGAATGGACCATATGTTAGGCCACAAACCAAGCCTCAATAAATTGTAAAACATCAAAATAAAAAGACACAAAACCCAGTTGTCATGGAGTCATCTCCAACTTGTGGTGAGCTCGGGTGTGTCAGAGTAGAATTATGTTCTATAGTTATTTTTGCTTTTCTTTTGAACACTACTGTGGTACAGGTGAAAGTTTACAGAGCAAATTAGATCATACACATTTTATTTAATGATGTTACAAGCTCTGTAGGGTTTTCAGTGGCTGATTTTTAAAAAAGTGGTCACCAGCCTTTCCCAAGGTCTCAGGAAACTAATTTTTCAATTAGCAAACCAGCGCTTAATTATTTGTGCACCCAGAAGTAAACCCAGGGACTCACCTCAGGGTTTTAGCATTGCATTTGTAGGGAGCTAAAGTGTTTTCATCTATTTGGTAGTGAAATGTAGTACTTAAAGTATAGGAATAATACGGTAAGCTAAATTTTCTAGGTAGAACTTTTAGAGGGAATACATGCAGTATTTTGATAGCTATAAAATAAGTTATCTTGAGAAACGATGTACAAATGCGCTTTACACAATTGATGTGTGTATGGATTGGGATAACAGTTGTATGAGCCCCTAATAAAATGTTAAAATAAATAAATAAATAAAAAATAAAATGCAGCTCAAAAAAAAAACAAAAACAAAAAATAAAATAAGTTATCTTTGTGATATAGAATATTAATTGCTTTCTCATTCTGTTATCTCTAACATTACTAGCCCAATGTAATATAATTTTCTCCATTCTTCCTTTATTAAAAAAATAATTGCGTACTGCTGTGTATTGCTCTCTGTTTTGTAATTCATAAGTGTGTCAATTTTAAGGAGACTGATACAGCATAGAAAAATGCACAAGATAAAGTAAAAAAACAGGTTATACAATTATGTGTGATATCCCATTACTGATAAATATATTTTAATCTGTGCATAGAAAATTGTGTGTAAGTAATAGTTATCTTTAAGGAGGAAATGATAGAATTATTTATCTTTTATAATATTTATTTGATGTTTGAATTTTTATAAGCAGTGTGTCTTATAATCAGAATAAAACTTGGGAAATGAATATGAACAAATACTTTTTCTGGTTTTTTAATATGTATATGTATATGCATATACATAAATTCTTGTACCCTGGAATCTTGCTCTGACTACATGTAAATATTCTCTTGTGTGTTTATATATACTAATGTTTTACTATTTCCAGAATTATTTTATCATTCATAATGTCTCTAAAACTTTCCTCTTATGTGTGTAAAGTTCAAGCTAGCACCTTTGCCAGGGTCTACCTGCATTATTTTATTAGCATACATTATGGAAAAGTGGTTTAATCAAAGAGTAGTCATTTCCTACGGGCCTTGGTGATTATTTCCAAATCACTCCCCTGATAAATTGTACTGTTTTCATTGTATGAGCATAATCAATTTACGGAGCTCCAATTTTAAACATTATTAGGGCTGGTGGGTTTTGTTTTCATTCTGAAAATCTCTGGGAGGAATGTCAATCAAGTCAGGTTGTTTTAGTAATGGTTGATGGGAAAGTATGGAGGGTGTTATTGATGGGATTCTCATTTTACAGTTATGTTCTAAAACGAACTGAAGATTAGATATGATTTTTTTCATTTATGTATTTGCATTTTTAGGCAGTTCTGCCTTGAGCTAAATGGACTTGCTGTCAAACTTCAGGTAATCTTTTGTTTAAATTAAAGCTGTAGTCAAAAGTTCCATTATTTTTCTGTTTTTGTAACTGAATGTCTTACAATGATTCAGCCAAAATGTCTGATTATTTTCTTCTACAATTTCACATGGTTGTTTAGTACCCAGATGGCACACTTTTTCATTACTTTGCATATTAAGAAACATAATTATTTTTAACAGAGTGAGTGCCATCCAGATACATGTACTCAGATGACAGCAACTGAGCAGTGGATTTTTCTTTGTGCAGCTCACAAAACTCCAAAAGAGGTGAGGGTTTATGAAACTTGTTTAGGTTCTTGTTTCAGTCATGATTGCTTCGTTTGTTAAGATGAACTGTTGGTGGTTGCTAGTTGATGCTTAATTTATTAAGCAAGTCAGTATATTCCTCCATATTTTATTGATGTTTGTTAACCTGTTATTGAAATCCACCATAAATACTTCCTTTCCAAATTGATTGTACATCAAAGATATTATCCATGTTGCTTTTTTTCCTCGTTCATTTTTGTTAAAATGAGAGAATAGGTAGCAATTGTTTACAGAACAATTTCATCTTTAGATGAAATTCTATTTATAGAACTTGCTTCATCTTTTAAATGATTCCTTTATATCATTTGATACCCCATTTATATTCAGTTTTTCTAGGCGTCTCAAAAATGTCCTTGACATTTCTTTGTGTTTCTTTTAATCTGCATTCATTTTTAATCTGTAGTCTTTCCCTTTACTTGACAGTATACGTATTGAAGACACTGGGCTAGTTCTGTAGAATTGCAGATCTTCAGACAGCCGTTGTGTTGACATGCTTCTAAGGCTTAAAGACAAGTGACTTTCTAGTTGCAAAGTCAATAGATATCTGGTGTTCTTTTGCTTGAAAAGGGGTGAATTCAAAATAGGAACATTTGATACCTCTCTAAGTGAATAGTACAGATTTGGTAGTGATTTAATTCAAGGTATTACAATCTTTTATAATAGTTAATTGAAGCAATATTAAGCTTGTATATCAGGCCATATCCAGAAAAAGCTACATAGCAATTTCAATGAGAATTCTCTGAACTTGGATAAATAGTGCAGCGAATATTGTAATACTTAAAATAAGGGAGCTGAATCAAGAGGGCTAGTTATATTTTGATAAATCTTAAAAATGCATTCTTACTTTTGAGTGGAAATGCTGTCTAGTTACTGGTATAATATGTGACTTATTTATACTTCTTTATACTCCCATTGTCAGATCTATTTATTTCCTTGATTAATGGTCAGTGAGGTGATTTATGTGCAACCAATTCCTCATGGGATGTAGATCCTTGGTTTGAAGGTTTTCAGTCATGATTTCTAAAGACACCCAAGTTAATTAGCCTAATAACATTTTTAGTTCTTCTGTTCTATCTCCTAGTTCTTTGTGTAATGTCTGGCCTTGTAGAAGCTTGCAAGCAGCCATCCAAGGTACAACCATTGGTTTCTATTCACCTGGAACAAAGAAAGTCAGAATCTGAGGTGGAATTGGATGTGTGGCTCAGTGCCTCTTTGAACAGGTTGCCTTCTTGGCCATGAGACCAGAACTAGATGATGCTTTGCCACTCTATTGAGTATTTTAATCCAAGATCCCAAAGTAGAATCATAATCAAAAGAGGGGAAATGCAGACAGAATTTTAAAATCTCGTGATTTCAGACATTCTGGAGCCACAGAGGCTAGATGCACCAATCTTTAAACCCAAAATAATCTCCCACTGTCTTAACACCATTAACTAGTAAAAAGTCTTGTTTTGGCCATTTTGCTCTTTTAAGAATGATTTGGATCAAATTGACGATAGCAGTTTGAAAGATTAGGCAGGAACCTTAGGGAGCAATGAGTTTACCTTAAAAAGGGATGAACAACTTATAAAAGTAGAGTGATAATGGTTGCACAACTTGAGGAATACAATCAGTGTCACTAAATTATCCATGTAGATAATCATCAACATTTAAGAGCAGGGAACCTTGAGTCTTAAAATTGCAATACTGCCTGCTGAGGCCCAGCTTCTTTGAATTGTCCATATGTCAAGAGAATGATAGTAAGACCTTCAAATGCTTATTGGATAAGAGGACTTCAAAAAGTTCCTGGGAGGAAAAGGTATTAGAAGATAGTATAATTTTTCTATGAACTTTGTGAAGCCCTCCCTTGTATGTAATGAGGTTACTATAATACAAATAAATACAAAGTTTAAAGAAAGAACTTTTTTTTAAATTAAATACTTTTATTGGGGCCTCTTACATCTCTTATCACAATCCATACATTCATCCATTGTGTCAGGCACATTTGCACATATGCTGCCACCATCATTTTCAAAGCATTCTCTTCCCACTTGAGGCCCTGATATCAGCTCCCCATTTCTTTCCTCTTCCTCCCCCGCCCACCCTTCGTCCCTCACGAACCCTTGATAAGTTATAGATTATTACTTTCATATCTTACATCATCAGAAATAACTTTTTAAAAGACTCTTGGGTAACTATGTAGTTAAGAAACTAGGGGAAAAAAAGGTTGCTTTTATTGATTAAAGGAAATGGGCATATTTTGAAATGGAAGAGGCAGGGTACTTAGTACCTACAAGGTTCATTTAGTGCACTTGAGAATTAAAGAGAGGCATTGCAGCAAATAGTGCTAATAGTACAAATAGTGATTGTAGGTGACACAGGTGGTAACTTATTATCTACAAGCCCTTTCCGTTAAGCCATTTGTAATCACGCCATTAACATTGTAATTTGGTGGGGGGAATAAAAGTTATTTGTTTTTTGTTTTGGGGAATAAAAGTTTTTACAAAAGATTATATGAATGATTTCTCATCTATCTGTGAATATACTACATAGTTTGTCCCCTACATTTTGTCCACTTTTTGCTGTTACATTTTGTACAGATCAGGATAGTTATCCCCAAATGAACTGAGGCAGAATTTGTTCTCCAACTCTGAAGAAAAATCCAGAAAGCAGTTAAAGTTTAATGTTATACTGTCTTATAATGGCAGCAGTGTGCCACAGGTTACTATAGAGCACTTGAAAAGTGGGTAGTCCAAATTGAAATGTACTGTGAATGTAATATATGCCTGATTTAAGAGGTGGAGCTCCTTGGTAATACATTTTTTATCCTTTCTTTTATAGTGTCCTGCTATAGACTACACTAGGCACACACTTGATGGTGCTGCCTGCCTTCTGAATAGCAATAAATATTTTCCTAGCAGGTAAACAAAAACTTAAATATTACTGTTTTTTAGATTTAATTGAACAAATTGATGCTTTAAAACTAAAATTAGTTGGCTATTTTTGTAATTGTTTTTTAATGTTGTATATTTGACTTGTTCAAAATTATTCCAGTTTTGAAGTTAGAATTGTGGCTTAGACTAGTAGAGTCAGCTCCCGAGACTGAGAGACTAGTTTCTTTGAGGCTGGTTCCGGCTGCTGTTCTCCAAGGCTCTTCCTCTCGTGTTCTCCAGTTAGTAGCTCAGCCTCCCATTATCCAGCATGCCAGGAGAGTAAAATTTCTCAAGTTGGACTGCTTGTTTTTTAAAGATTCCTTACCCGTGCTTATAGATTTTTAAGATCTAGGAAAAACCCTGTGTATACTGTTGAATTAGTGATATTTTGAAGAGTCGAAGACCCTTTAGATATTTGTTACTAGATGGGTGGATTTGGAAACATAATTGCAGATAGTTCATGTGAACCATGTAAAGGAAAAATATTGCATTGCATTGCCTCAGTAACCTATGTTTAAAAAAAACCCCAAACCAACCCTAAAAATACGTATTTAATTTTTTCTAAACAAACAAAATAGCTTAGTACTATAGAATAAAACAATAATTCCATAGTTTTAGTCACTGTTAGTTAGCAAAGTATTCACGTCTTCAATTTTTTTCTTATGTTTTGAGTTGTCAGATTCATTTTACTGTAACAATGCAGCACTCATCAGTAAGACAGCCCTAAAATGTGTAATAGTCGTTTAAGCACTGTGGTTAGGTAGAAAGAAAACTAGCCAGGGCGTGAAGAACAGGGATGCCAGACTTTGCCATGACTACTTCCTAACACTGTGACCCCGGGCTAGTCACTTGTTTTCGTTTCCACATTTGTGAAATGAGAAGATTCTTTCCAACTCTGTGAATCTGTTGTTTCTTTTCCAATTCTAGGGTTAGCATAAAGGAATCTTCCGTAGCAAAACTAGGATCAGTATGTCGTAGGATTTATAGAATATTTTCACACGCTTATTTTCATCACCGGCAGATATTTGATGAATATGAAGTAAGTATGTTTCACTAATTAGCCTGGTACATTCTTATTCAAAAGAAGAATAATATATTTTGATGTTATTCGTGGTTATTTTTGTTTTGAATAATAAATTAACACTTTGTTTTCCCTCCCTACAGAATGAAACATTTTTGTGTCACCGGTTTACAAAATTTGTGATGAAATATAATTTGATGTCCAAGGATAACTTGATTGTACCAATTTTAGAAGAGGAAGTTCAGAACTCAGTTTCTGGGGAAAGTGAAGCATGAAGGGAGTAATGCAAAATGTACTGGACACATAATTAGCATTAATTATGTACTGTATATAATTTTAGACACATCAATCATGTACCCATATTTAGCTTCTTTGTTTAGTACAGGTTTTTGTATGCTGTGTATTGCCTTTTAAAATGGGAAATACTTTTTAAGTTATTCATGAGCTGTATATTCATTCACTGGTGTGGCACTCATGGTTTTTAAATAAGATTAGTGTTACCTGTTTATAATGCCTGTTAATAAAAGAATTTACAGTTTGGTAAAATTGCTGCTAAACAATCATTGGATCACAATCCTCATCAAATAAACCCATCTGTAAAAAGATGAGTGAGCTTGAGGTTTCGCACAAGCCATTTACTTAAATCTTAACATTTGCCTTTATTTTACACTTGAGTTTAGGTATTCTAGAAAATTCTATAGTACATGCATAGTTCAGTTTTGACTCAGTATTTCAGGTATGATATAAAATCGTATATAATTCTGTTTATTTTTTGATATGCATATATGATCATATGTATATCTAAAATGTAAAAATTCAACCTGAAGTGTTAGTTGCTACATAAAGTGTATTCTTGGTCTGAATAATTTAAAAGGATTTACCTTTTTGCAATAATGGACTCCTATGTGTAGGATGAAGATGATGATGATAAGGCACATAGCTGACGTTCCTACTGGAAACCCTCTTGGCCCACCTCTTCTCAATTTCCTTAACCCCCTTTCTGAACTATATTCACTTAGAAGCTTTTCACCAAACTGTTATTTAGTGGTGGATTATACTTATATATTTGTATTAATTGCTTACACATTATACCTCAATATTAGCAATTACATTACACTACAGGAAAAAAAATGTATTGGCATAGGCTCTTACCTTTGTTTTGTAAAGTTGTTCTAATTAGAAAAGTCTTTAAAATAGTTTAATTTTTCTGTTTAGTAATACTGATCTTTTCCTTTAACCATCTGGGCAACATTCAGATGGAATTGGAAAAATACTGTAGTATTTATTTTGCACCCTTCTACGTGCATATTTTGTCTCATCAGTAATTTGCAATAATCATAGGTTTCAAGGGTGTTGATGAATGGTCATGTGTTGTTTGGACTTTATAATTGTCTTAAGGATTCAGCTGCTGACTCAATAATGCAGTTTTTAACAAAGCATTGGAGGTCTTATGCAAAATGATTGTAATAAGATACTTCAGGTGAAAAGATTGTTCATACAGTGAAGAAAATAGTGAAATCTATTTCTTGAACAGATTGAACCAACATGAGAGACTTTTTCATTTTGAAGGATTGTGTTGAAACAGATCCAATGTATTCATCTTAATTTTTTTTATTTGAGGGAGTGATTTATATAATATGAGACAAGTGTGTATAGCAAAAAAAAAATGTGGGAATTAGACATACTGAGAGTGTATATATAGTTTATGCCTTTCCAAACCTGCCAGTCAATTTGGCTTTAAACAGTGCTATCATAGCATACAAGTCATTACTGAGCCCAATCCACATTATGTTTTAGGAAGTTCTGTGTTCACAGTGAAAGAATGTTGATTTTAAAATTATGTTCTATTAATGTCACTATAAACCAGTGGGATAGTAATTTTTAAATGAACTTGCTAAATATTGAGAGACTAAGTTAATTATAAATAAGAATATAACTGTTTGCTCTGAAAGGTGTTTCACAGTGGATTTCTATTGCTTGATTATTTTCTTGAAGATTTGAACTAAGGCAGTGATAAGGATTGGTGATCTAGTGTAGTATTTTGAAACATTTTGAATAATATGGCTTGGTGTTAATGGGGAAATAAAATATGATTTTTTTCTTACTTATTCCATCTCCCCTGTACTGTGTGTTTGGAGTTGATCATAAAGAGTATTCCCCAAAAGAAAACTTCACTTTGTAGTCTTGCTTTTGTATTGGTATTGACATCTCATTTGACATAGTCATTGCACTGTGAGGTTAATTCATTATGCTAGGTAAAACGTAAATGAAACAATCCTATTTTTCCTTAATGCTGTGTACAAAATTTTGGGAGTATATTTGTACATACCTAAACCCAAACCAAACCCACTGCCATTGAGTTAATTTTGACTCAGAGCAACTCTTTGTCCTAAGTGGCTGGAGGGCTTGAACTGCTGACCTTGCAACCCACTGCTATAACTCAGCACCACCAGCATTCCTTTGAACATACCTACAAAGTATAAAAAAGATTACTGAGCCTGACAAATTATTGATTTATAAAGTAGGGCTTCTAGAAAAGGGAAATCCAGTTCCTTCTTTTGCTGAAATTATTCCATATAAATGTAAAGGTTAAAAAAAAAAAAAGTCTAAATAAATAAATAAATAAATGTAAAAGTTAAAATTAATTCTTTTTCTTCCCATAAAATAATTTTGATCACAGATTCAACACTTTGTCTTACCATATCATAAAAAATTACTTTTTCTAACATGTTCCTATAAGTAAATACAGTCCTTTTTTGTATAGTTCTTTTCACTGACTTAAAATGTTATATTTTTCTGTTTCTCAGTTAAATTCTTTAGAGATATAATTTTTAATACACTAAAAATTCTTAATTATGATTACTTTGTAGTAAGGCTTGCATTTGGTTACAAATACATTTACTGACTGACTTTCATAGACGAACCAATTATTTTTTGCCCTGGAGTACTTTTCCCTGCTTTCTGTAATTCAGATTTGATTTATTTGGCTTAAGGACTTCCTACAATTTATGTCAGACAGCTAAATTCTAAGTTTTATGTAATTGACTTTGTGAATATGTCTTGACTGTATGAAGGGTATCTTAGTGTAATATAATTTAGGGGGAACATTTTATTGTACTTTAGGTGGAAGTTTACAGAGCAAATTAGTTTCCCACTCAGTAGTTCATACACAAGTTGTTCTTTGGCACTGGGATAACCCACAATGTGTCAGAACTCTTCCCATTCCCACCCTGGCTTCTTGCCCTCTTACTAACTTTGCTTTGGAGCAGATGTTGCCCTTTGGGTTCAAATCGCTATTGTTTTTTGTTGTTTTTTAATTACTTTATTGGGGGCTCGTACAATTCTCAATCCATACATCTATCCATTGTGTCAATCACATATGTACATTTGTTGCCCTCATCCTTAAAACATTTGCCTTCCACTTTAGCCCTTAATATCAGTTGCTCATTTTCCCCCTCCTTCCCCACTCCCCGCTCCCTCATGAACCCTTCATAATTCATAACTTACTATAGTTTTGTCATAAGTTACAAATAGCTATTGTTTTAAGGAGCACATTTCTCACAGAAGGTGATGTCTACATTTTGAGCCTGTTTGGTTGAAAGGAGATCTCTGGGAGTGACTTCAATTCTAAGTTAGAAGCGTGCTTTTTTAAGGGCAAAAATCTTGGGAGTTCCCCTCAGTCTTTAATAATACGTCTGGTCTTTTTTGTGAATTTGAATTGAGTTGTACATTTGGCTCCCATTCAGACTGGGACCGTCTATTGTGTTGTGTTGTCTTCCTGGTCAGAGTAGTTGGTAGTAGTAACCAGACACTATCTTGTTTTTCTGTGGTGATCCAGTCATTTGGATAATTGCTAAGTCTTTGCTCCTCGTCACTTTGCTCCAGACAGGAAGAGATCATTAATTGTGTTTTAGATGGCCACTTGCAAGCTTTCAAGTCCCGTGATGCTACTCATGTCAGTAGGATTGTAGAACATTACCTGTGTGAACACAGTTGTGCCAATTTGACTTAGATGTCCAAGGTAATGGTCATATACTTCAAGCCTAGTAGGAGATTTTAAATAAAAATTCTATTAGTTGATTAAAAAAACATGTTGATTTTCACTTCTTAAATGCAGCCAATTAATAATTAAACAAATACTAAAGGGGTATTGATGTAACACATTGAGTAATTTGAGATGGTCAAAATATCAAAACTCTTGGTAAAAAAAAAAATCCTAATTAAAACCCATTGAAAATTGATTTGATTCTGATTAGAATTAGATGGAACAGAACTGGCCCATAGGATTTCCAAAGCTTATGTATGATTCAAACTGCGGATTTTTCAGTTAGCAACTGAGTGCCCGACAACTGTATCACTAGGGTCCCATACATGATCAATCCACCCACCCATTGTCATTGAGTCGATTCCAATGCATGATTCCTAGCGCTCCTAAATAAGGTTTCCAAGACTAAACTTTTATGGGAGCAGACAGCCTCACCTTTCTTCCACAGAGTGGATGTTAGATTTGAACCTCAGAACTTATTAGCAACTCCACAGCTAACCTAAAGTGTAATGTAGGTTCTAAGTTCAAAACTACCAAGTGAATCCACCACAAACCAACCAATTGATTATCATCAAGTGAATTCTTCTCAGGGTGACTTTATAGGACTAGAGAGAACTTCGCCTATGTGTGTTTGAAACTGCAACTCTATTGGAGTAGAAAGCTTCATCTTTCTCCCCAGGAGCAGCTTGGTGGTGTCAAACTGCTAACCTCACTGGTAGGAGCCCAGTGCATAACCACTGAGCTACCTGTGGTCCAGTGAATCCACTAGAGTTTGACAAATGAATCTCGCTCTTAATTGTGGAGACACATAAGTAAATTATGTGGGGCTGGGAATCTAGTTACAGTACTTGTGTGATTTTTCTGTTATTTATTTATTTTTTTGTAGTACACAAAAGCGTCATATCAAATGGGAGAGCTTAATATAATTAAGCAACAGAAGAGTCCATTTTCATAATAGCCTATCCAATTAAAATGGTATGCCAGCTATGTTTCTGACATTAATTTTAGGATTAATCCTGATGGCAACATTCAAAATTAATAAGATCTTGACTCAGTTTTGGAAAAAAATTTTATTGTGGGCTCTTATATCCATTCTGTCAAACACATCTGTACATGTTATCTTTTTCAAAACATTTTCTTTCTACTTTAGCCCTTGGTATCAGCTACTCATTTTTTCCCCATCCTTCCTCCCCCATGAACCCTTGATAATTTAAATATTTTTTTTCACCAACTACTGGGTCTTGACTTAATTTTAATGAAATTTTATTCTGATCTGGGTTTCTATAAACCTTAGGGAAGGTAATTTTATTTCTATAAAATACTGTATTTACCTTTTTTTTTTTCTGGTGGAAGGACCTCATGTGAGTCACCTGTTTTTTGTATAATTAGAAAACTTCACTGAAAAGTTTGTATGTTACAGTTTATAGGATATTTTTTGCTGCTTATGGTGTAATTAACAAAGGACCATGCTCTTTCTCTATGATTACATTTTTGTCCCGGATTGTCAATGTCTGGAAGAAAATGCTAAGTGCTAATAAATCCTAAGTAGAAATGCTGGAGTAGAAGTAATAGGATTCTGTCCTTGAATTTCTCCTACCTTTCTTAGAGAGAAAGTGAAGGGATTAGCTAGGAACAAGATAAGGGAAGTCAGGGTTACTCAATGCTCATTATGGCACTAGGAAAGAAAGACCATCTTCATTAAATTCCCCTAATTCAATAAGAACCTTGTGCTTTTTTTTTAGGGATTCCTTATTTGTTTTTTAATTAAAAGATCATTTTATTGGGGGCTCTTACAACTCTTAAAACAATCCATACAGAAATTGTATCAAGCATATTTGTACTTATGTTGCCATCATTTTCTAGACGTTTACTTTCTTTTGAGTCCTTGGTATCAGCTCCTCTTTTTTTACTACCCCGCCCCTTGTGACCCTTTGATAAATTGTAAATTATTATTTTCATATCTTACACCAATCATTGCCTCCCCCCACAGTTTCTGTTGTTTGTCACCCTGGGGGTGGATATGGCTATGATCATTGCAATCAGTTATCCCTCCCAACCTCCAACACCTCCTCCCCACCTTATACCCCTACCCTTCTGGTATAGCTACTCCCATTCCTGTACCTGGATTCCTTCTGTTGTGAGCTCTTAGCTCTTATACATACCTGTGCTTATGCTTCAGTCTAGCCTGCAGTGAAAGGCAGGACTGAGGTCATGATAGTGGGGAGTAAGGAAGCCTCAAGGAACCAGAGGATATTGTGTTTCATCGGTGCTGTACTTCGCCCTGGTTGACTCATCCTTTCCTTGTGACCCCTCTGTGAGGGGAGGGGATGTCCCATTGTCTACAGATGGGTTTTGGGTCATAAACCTTGTGCTTTTTGTGAGTAAATCCCTACCTATCTAACCTGGAAAAAAAATCATCTGTATTGAAAACTAGGGTGTGTACATAGAATGAGAAACGCTTTCATTTGAGTGATATCTTAAGCCCTTTAAATATTTAATGCTTTGAGTTTTATAAGTGTTTTGACAAATGCAGATTTGGCCTTTTTACTGCACGTTCTAATTGTTGAGATCCCATTGCTACAAGCAGTGGCTTAAAACAACACACATTCTTGTGCATTTCTGAAGGTCAGAAATCCAAATTTTTTTTACTAGAAATCGAGCTATCTGCAGGGCAAGCTACTTCTTTCTGACAGCTCCAGGTGAGACTCATCCCTTGCCTTTTTCAGTTACTGGCATTCCTTGGTTTGTGGGCACACTACTTCATCCTCTGCTTACATCATCACGTTGCCTTCTTTTCTCTAGCATCCTCCTTTGCCTTCCTTACAAGGACACTCTTGGTTAGATCATGATAATCCAGGATAATCACTCCATCTCAAGATTCCTCATCATATCTGCTAAGTCCCTCTATCTTGTTAGGTGCCATTGGCTTGCTTGCTGAATCTTCATGATCTTTTCTGTGTTTGAGCCCTTTGGTGCAGCCCAGGTGTTACTCTACCTCATGGAAGGTTTTCCTTTTTGTTCCTGATGACCCTGAAGTTTACACAGCAAGGTGTCCTCAGGGACTGATCCCTCCTGATGACATGTTTAAAGTACAAGAGGGAAAATGTTACCCTTGCTTTGAAAGAGCATTCTTCCAAGACAGATTGGTTTGTTTAAGCAGTGCACAATATCTTCAGTATTATTTTTCCCCAACACCATAATTCAGAAGCATCAATTCTTTGGATTTCCTTATTCATTGTCTAGTTTTTGTATACATAGGAAGAAATTGAAAATACTTGAGTTTGGGTCAGGTGCAACTTAGTCTCTTAATGACATTTTTGCATTTGAACACTTTTTAAAAGGGCTTCTGCAGCACATTTGCCAGGTACAGTGATTTGATATGACTGTTGCTTCTGTAGGCATTGATTGTGGATCCAAATAGATGAAATCTTTGATAACTTCAATCATCTCTAGTTGTCATAATGCTTATTGGTCCAGTTGTGAAGATTTTTGCTTTCCTTTGAGGTGTAAGCCTTAATGATGGCTTGGAGCCTTTGATCTTCATCTGTAATGGCGTCCGATCCTCTTGGCTTTCAGTAAGCAAACTTGTGTCATCTGCATGTGGCGAGCTTTCCATGAGTTCCTCCAGTCCGATACCACATTCTTGATAGAGTCTGCTTTTCATATTTTTGCTCAGCATAAAGAATATAGCCCAGACTCATATTTCTCCTGTTGGTGAGCCATTTGGTGTCCTCTTGTTCTATTACAATACTGCCCCTTGGCCCATGTATAAGTTACGCATGAGGACAATGAATTGTTCTGAAATTCCTGTTCTAATCAATGTTATATGTAATTTGCCATAAAAAATTATTTGCCATGTAAGTAATATATTCACAAACTAGGATTAAGGATTAGGTGATTAAAATATGGACATTTGAGGGGCCTTTATTTCACCTACTATAATAACCTACCCCTCCCTTCGTATTGTTAATCTAAAAAATTGTCCATGCTATGGATTTAACTTTAATAGTGGAACTTTTTATTGCCTACACATTGTACTTTGTTTCCTACATATTAATGTACTTCTTTATGCCTCCCAATCACATGTCTCAGATTGAGGAAATGGAACCTGAGATCATTGCCTGCAGATTAACATTAATTACTTCCTCTCTCTAGTGATCCATTGATAATGGTTTGGTGTGATACTATTGTAGTTCATGCATAAGGTTGTCCTTTGTTCAGCGACTGTTTACCAGTTTGTGGAAGAGGAAGAGAGGTGGCAGAATTGTTTCCAACCCCACTTTGTACATCAAAAAAGGGAAAGCTGAAGACTAGAGTCCTTTGGGAACATTTACTTTATTGAGAACAAAGGGTCTGAGTCTCGGTTTTCATAGGTTCCAGGTGACGACTGAAGTGCCATCAGTGTTGCAAACCCCTGCGAATCTTAGGCTATGAGGTCAAAGGTATCCTTCCTTCCAGTCTGCACAGAGGCAGGCTTTGCTCTGGGGCAATAGATCTGGCAGGAGCAAAAACAGTCACATGTGAGATAAGTTTCCAAGTGAAAATAATGTGGGAGTCCCTTGGAGACATGTTGAATTCTAAAGCTGGATGGACTTCAAAAGCCTTGTTTCATAATAAGACTGATAATCTGGAAAGACTTTCACCTTGGCATTAACATAGGTTAATGTAACTAATACCCCTTTGTATTTTGGGCTATGTGAAGAAAGGTATCAGTAAGGTATAGTAGTTAATATTTTGGTTATTTGAAAGTGAGGGAATGCTTGCTTTGGAAACACATGTACTAAAATTCTCTGTAATGATACTGATAAAATTAGCATGGCCCCTGGGTAAGGATGAAATACAAATTCGTGTAGCGTTCCATATTAAAAAAAAGTGAGGGAGTTTCTATGGCATCATTTTCAAGAACATATCAGTTGGATACAGATAGGTTAAGAAGAGATAGGTTAGTATTTCGTTAAGTGAAATGCAGAGCCAGGGTGTGAGTGCCTTCAAGATTCATCTCCACCAGTAACCTACTGCTGGGCCATGGAAGGCATTGCTGCGGAGCCGTAATGGACTTTAACACTGCTTTACAAGAGATGCTGAGGACGGCCCTCATCCACAATTATGGCTTAGCCTCCAGTGTGTTGGAATTCATAACATTGCCAAAGCCTTAAATAATTTAGATTGGCCAGTTGAATCCAGTGGATACACAGCTTGTTGGCTGTCCAGCAACAGGTCTTTGCACCATTTGTACCTTGGTCCTACTGCACTGGGCTAATTCCATGTCTGAGTCAGTCCCAGGCACCAAGCCCATCTTTGTGTCCTTGTATCCAACTGTGATGAGTCCATGTTCGTCCTGTATGCAGAGGCCCTTTGTGCTGAAGACCAAATAGACCTGGTTAAAGCTGATGGTAACAAGAAACTAGGGTGTGTGGATGTCTGCCAAAGGGACAGAGAAAATACCAGTAAGTGGTTGGTTGTCACTGTGTGGCTGATACGGACTATGGCAAGAAAATCTGGGACCTGAGGGGGGAAAGGAAAAAAAAAAAAGCGGGGGCACAGAGCACTAACCCACCCAAGACTTCAACCCAGTGTTCCAAGATGTGAATGCAACATGCTGGCATGGAGTAGGGGACCAGTGGAGAGGTCTGAGGGGCTGGCCCCAATCCCAACTATGTGGACACCTGCCCCTCTCCCCAGAAGAATTTATTTCAGAGGACAGTACTGAATCTGCAGCTCAGGGAGAGGGACATGTCTGATCAGAGCACACGGGAGCAAGTGAAGGGGGAGGAAGAGAAAGTGGAGCACATCCTGGCCCACCAAACCTTGATGAAGAGATTCCCGCTCAGAGCAGCCAATCCACAGAGAAGACCACATGGCCGGCCCCACTATGAGACACATCCTTCACTGACCCATAAAGGGGACAACACTGGAGACACGAATTCCGCCCAATCTGATCCCACCACGCCAAGGCAAAGCACTAAGGGAGTGGAACAGAATAGCAAGGGGATCAGCAATGAAGTCCCCAGGGAATACCAAAAATAGACTTTGGGGCCAGGGCTTGGCATCCCATCAGACTCGACCGGAAAACACTCCTAAAGGCCAACAAACAGTCCTTGAACTAATTACAAGTTTTTCTTTCATGTTATATTTTGTTTTGTTTTTT